TAAGAAGCCTAGGAGGTGGGGGCTGGATTGGGTGGATGGGAAAGTGTTGTAGACCACAAAGTGCTATACAGACATGAGTTATTATTAGAAAGAGGTAAGGGACTCCCCTGGTGGTCCAATGGCTAAGACTCTGTGCTCCCAATGCAGGGGGCCCGGGTTTGATCCCTGGTCGGGGAACTAGATCCCACGTGCTACAACTAAGAGTTCGCATGCCGCAACTAAAGATCCAGCATGCTGCAACGAAGATTCCGCATACGGCAACAAAGATCCCACGTGCTGTAACTAAGACCCAGCGCAGCCAAATAAATAAACACATATTAAAAATAAAAAGAAAGAGGCAAGGGTTCCAAGAGAGGTATAAAGTGGTACAGGGCTCAGGGCAAAACAAGGAAGATCTCTAGGATGAGATAGCATTTGCTTTGGATGTGGACCTGTGTTCCTGGGTAGGAATGAGGAATGTCCAGAGTGTGCATGGGATTGCCAGGTGGGGAAGAGTTTCCTCTAGCCCTCTCCCATTAACAAAGGATGGATGACCAGATTAGCTAACTAGCACCTAAGCCCAAGAGAAGTGATCAGGACCATAGAAAGCTTTGGGGACCTCCAGCCGAGATCCTAGCTGCAGAGAGCAGGCTGGGTGGGGGCCACTCAGAGGGGGATAAAGAGGGAACAGAAAGCTGGTAGCAGGGTCAGGGCATGGGGGTCAGACACCCAGCATCCAAATCCTGACATTCTAACACACTCTAGTTATGAGGCCATGAGCAAGTTACACATTTCTTTCTTTTTTTTTCTTTTTTTAAAAAAAATCTTTCCCTGCTCTCCAGTGCTTTTTTTTTTTTTTTTTTTTTGTTTTTGTATATTCTTTGTGCTATTTTTTTTTCTTATTAGTCATCAGTTTAATACACATCAGTGAATACATGTCAATCCCAATCTCCCAATTCATCACACCACCACCCCCACCCGCCGCTGCTTTCCCCCCTTGGTGTCCTTACGTTTGTTCTCTACATCTGGTTACACAATATTTCTATCTCAGTTTCTTCATCTGAAGAATGGGAATGATGATAATGGCATGTCCCTCAGAGGCTTGCGCAAATTTAACATGCTAATCCGTATACAGTGTTTACTATGATGCCTGGCACACGGTAAGCACTCAATATGAGCTCGCTATTGTTAGTTCTGTTATTGTAATCCCAGGGTACCTGACTGGTACCATGATTCAAGGAGGAATGGGGTCAGAAGAAAGAAGGCACATGTCGACTTCAGTTTACTTTCCTGGTAAACCTAAACCCGGCAGGGGTGAACTGGCTCGGGAAATAACACAGACCAGCTGCCCCCTCTCTTCCACCTTAGGTTTTGTCTTTGACAGTTATTCCATCTGCTTTTCAGGGGAAGTCTAGGAGAGAGAGGAGGAGGAGACAAAGGCTAGTGGGCTGCCAGTCCTCTGAAACTGGGCTAATAGAGACTGGTCGTCAGTCTGATTTTTGACACCTTCCTTCGGAGGTTCTGTTGGAATTTCCCAGCTCTTGTCAATTAACCTCCCCAGCCCCTTGCATGCTATGGATTTACTTTCCATGTGTCCAGAGGCAGACACATCCTGCAGGGAGAATGCAGATGGGGTGGGAAGTCCTTTCTTGAACAGGTTAATGGCACAATAGAAGTATGACTGGGGTGGGAGCTAGGAAGAAGGGAAACTAATGTGTACTGATAGGCATTCCTTCGCAGGACGAGGCTGGGTGAAGGAGCTTGCCTGTCACCATCACACCAGCCCTGCAAGGAAAGTATTTATTACCCGCATTGTACAGATGAAGAAACTTGCCCTAGGCCACAGCTAACCCACAGAGAAGGGAGTCCAACCCAGATCTATTCAACACCAAAAGTCATCCTCTGCCATTAGAGTATGTGGGAGGCTTACAGGACTAAAACAAGTATCTTTACTGGTGCTTGAAAAATGACATTTTGAATATATTTTATACAAAATCTGAGAAACTCCATTGATCCAGAGCTGTAGGCTGGGCTGACCTGGCTTGGAAAAAGGAATATTCTATGGAAGGTACAGCTAATTCTGCTCATAGGTCACCTCCAATCCCCAGAAAACAAAGTGCTGGATGTTGGTCCTGTCTTTTGTCCAGGTAGAAGGTTGCAGTTTGCTGTCATCAGCAAATCAATCTCCATCTGGATACAACTATTTTCAGTTACATTTTACTACTGATCATTTGCTCAGTGGCTTTCTGTCAAAGGGGAAGGGAATAGGTCAGAAGCACAAGGAGCTGTTTCTGGGCTCTGGCCTTTGGGAAAGCAGCCTTGTCCTGTTTATACATCCTCTCTCTAATTTGCCCAGCCTGACCACAGAAACATCATCCTCCAAGCCCAGGTAAATATAGGCTAACAAATCCTCTCCAGTCAATGGCTATTGAGCAACCCAAGGAGCCCAGAACCCTATACTAGCAACTGTGATAAATAAGGAAGGTTCCTGACCTTGGGCTGCTGGAGCAGAAGTATATTCCCATCTGGGGGAGGAGGCCCCGAAGTGCAAGTTCTGAGCCCCTCTCTGGCATGACTCTTGGTTTAGTCACCCTTCCTAGCACTCATCCAGTTACACAACCAAATTGAGATGTCAGCACCAGGATGAACCCTAGTTCATCTCAAAAGGGCAAGAGGAGGCAGAAGAAAGTTTCTTTCTTTCTTTTTTTTTTTTTGATGTGGACCGTTTTTAAAGTCTTTATTGAATTTGTTATAATATTGTTTCTGTTTTATGTTTTGGTTTTTTGGCCCAGAGGCACGTGGGATCTAAGCTCCCCCACCAGTGATCAAACCCACACCCTCTGCATTGGAAGGTGAAGTCTTAACCACTGGACCACCAGGAAAGTCCCAGAAGAAAGTTTCTTACTCAGCAATGAATAGCTGGATGAATCAGGTCTCTTTCAGAAAATGAAACCAAAGGGAAGAAGGGGCCTGTGTCTGGATCACCTTCAAAAGCTGTGTGTGAAAGGGGCCTGTGTCTGGATCACCTTCGAAAAGGTGGGTGTGAAAAGAATGATGCAGGGCAAAGGGCCGCAACGAGAGGGAGGAAGGGAGGGAGAGGGAGAGAGAGGGAGAGAGGGGGAGAGAATAGGAGGAGCCTAGTTGCTCTGTATAGCCTAGGAATGAAATCAGTTGGAAGGGAGCCCCCAGGTCCCACATCCGAATGTGTCACCGCCAAGTGCCCAGAGGCCGAAAAGCCTGGCTCAGTCTGTCAAGAACTGGAATTTTTTCCAACCCTGAAGCCCCGGAATGAGAACAACCAGCTTCCCCTTCTTTTCCACCAGTTATTTCAGAGACTCTACTGGTAGAACCCCACCTTCAGCTCTGATTTCCAGTGTTGTTTTTGTTTAACACGGGTGAAAAAGTGTAGAGATCTGAAAATAGGTAAAGTTGTACTGCAGAGTGGAAGAGAAAAATCTGAGAAGTGGCCCAAACCCTCACCAATAGCTCTGCAGCTAAGACGAGGCCTTCACCAACTAGGATTGGAATGGTGGGGTTCAAATGAAATAATTTATGTGAACTCACTGAGCTCAGCCTGGTCCCTTGGGACCAAATAAATGTATTTGTTCTTTCTCTATGGTAGATATTGTCCTTTGTGTGTGTATGGAGGGAGTGACCTCCATATTGAACTTATACCTTCTGTGACTGCCCCATGAGATACATCACCTCCACTCCTACCATCCTAGTCCCAACCTTTCCTCCTAAATGCCCTTCCTGCTTTGACTCCTGCCTACTACAGTTTATTCTTTACACAGTAGCAAGAGTGATCTTTTAAAAAATATAAACTGTATCTTGTCACTTTTCTGTTTAAAACTCTTCAAGTGCCCCCACTACACTTGAGTAGAACTTAAACACTTTACCATGGGTAACTGGGCCCTAACATGACCTGCACCCTGCTTGATTTCCTCTCCTATCACTCTTCCTATGGCCCACTTTGCTGCAGCCACCCTGACCTTTGTTTCTGAACTCACCAAGACTGTTCCCTCCTCAGGGCTTTTGTACTAGCTATTCCCTCTGCCTAGAATACCACCTGTTCTGCTTACTTGTCATGAAGGTCTTGTCTGACCGCCCAAACTAAATTAGCTCCGCCTCCCACCCCCCATCACTCTATTTCATTTGCTTCATAGCAAATGGTAATGATACAAACTCAGCCAGTCTTGTCTATTATTTGTTTACTTGTTTATTGTCTGTTTTCCCCGCAACACAGTCCCTGAAGGGGCACTGTGTCTATCTGGTCTATCACTGAATCCCTAGGGCCAAGCAGAGCCTGGCACATAGTAGATCTCTAATATTCGTTCGATGAATGATCTTTTCAAATCCTAACAATCTGGTGAGGTCTGTGAGAAAACCGAAGGTCCCATCAGATTCAGGATTAGAGTCCCGGTCTGTACGAACACAGACTTCGTCTTTCTTCCCAGGGTACCTCGCCCCTTTCCACAGGTCCCCATCTCTCCCGACCTTTCTCACACTTAATCCTCCTCTACCAGGGAGGGCAGGTCGGACTTCCAGTTCCTTCTCAGAGCCTCGTGCGGACTCTCAAATTCCTCCCACATTTCGGGGGCTCAGAGACGCCGCCCTGTTCTCAAAACGGATCCCTCCGGGTGCACGCACCCCCCTCCCTGGGCCCCCAAACAGGGGCTGGGAAGAGTCCCGCAATGTCTACGGTAAAACGGGGCGGGCCCCAAAACCCACCGGCAGTAACGGTTCAGCGCCTTCACTCTGTCCCACTCTCTGGCTAGGGACCCCCCAGGGCCTAGTGGGGGCGAGTTGGAAGCTCCAGGCATCAAGGGCAATGAGGACATCCCGGGCCGAATTGGGGATGGGCCGCCTTCGCGCAGCAGAACCTTTCTTCATCGGGCCTCGTTCGCCGGCCGGTCTGCTTTGGAAGAGACACCCCACTTAACCGTCCCCCGCTCGCACCCTCCCCGTCTCAGCCCTGTCTGCAGAGGCCCGCCTTCCTCCCCGTCCAGAGCCCAAGGGTTGCTGTGGCCGCAGCGTTCCGCCTCTCTCTGGGGGCCTCCCCAGGCGTGGACCTCTGAAGCTACCGACAGACAGCGTCTGGCTCTTCTGAGCTCCAGTGGGCGAGGGCCTGCAGGTTTCCTCCAGCTGGGGAGTTCGCAGAGCGGAGGCGGAGGCAGAAGCACGTTCAGGCTCTAGGCCCGGCGGGCTGGGTCGGGTGCAGCGCGGCCATCATTCGCCATCCAGGGCGCGCGCGGCCCTCTTGGGACCTCGCCGGCGACCCGTAGCTCGGGCACGCGCCTGTCGCAGCCCGCAGGAAGGAGGGGTCCAGCCTGAGGCCCGGCCACCATGGAGATCCCGTCGGCCCAGGGCTGGCGTCTGGGGCCTTGGGGGCGGCCCTGACCGCCCTCCTCCCTGCCCGGCCTGGATCGCTGACCTGCCCCCAGCGGCATTCGGCCACCTCTGCGTCTCCGCCCTCCCCTGGCCGCGCTGCTGCCTGGGCGCGGCGGCGGCGGCGGCGGCGGCGGCGGCGCCCTGTTGAATGGGCTGTGAGGGCCCAGGTTTGAAGCGCTGGCGAACGCGGCCTCCAGGGGCGCAAGGCAGCAGCAGCGGTGGCGACCAAACGGGTGTTGGAGTTGGCAGCGGCCATGGAGGGCCTGGCTGGCTATGTATACAAGGCGGCCAGCGAGGGCAAGGTGCTGACTCTGGCCGCCTTGCTTCTCAACCGGTCTGAAAGCGACATCCGCTATCTGCTTGGCTATGTCAGCCAGCAGGGAGGGCAGCGCTCCACGCCCCTCATCATCGCAGCCCGCAATGGGCACGCCAAGGTGGTGCGCTTGCTGTTAGAACATTACCGGGTGCAGACTCAGCAGACTGGCACTGTCCGCTTCGACGGGTAGGTACATCCCAACTCCACCAGCCTCCTCTCTAACGCGCGCGGACCCACCACTTTATGGGTCTTCCCCTCCCTCTCTCTCGCTTCATGGAGGTATCACTTCTCCCATATTGTACCTCCTGACCTGCCTCATTAATGCCCACTTCATCTTCTAGGGCGAATACTCCATCCCATGTTTTGCCGCTCATCCTCGGTGGCCCCTACCCCTTATTCCCTCTATAGGTAAATAGCCACACCCTCTGTCTTGATACCTAATAGGTATTCTGTATTCTTTACTAGATAGTTTGTGAAGAAGCAGTATGGAGGAGGTAGCAGCCTTTTCAGGTTTTCACTTTACCAGTACTGGGGTTGTAACCGAGATCAGAAATTAACGAGGTCAGCAGTTAACGTTGAAGACCTTTGTTTGATGAGTTATTTGGCCACCCAATGTTTACCCCTTCACGTGAGTGTCCGATAAAGCCCCTTAGTGGGTTGTGGGACCTTAATGTCAAAATAAGCCCCTAGAACGAGCAGCAGTTGCAGCCTCTTGAGGGGTTGTCACACAGCCAGGCTTCCCAAGACATGATTCTGACTCTTACACATTGCTGGGGGTAGATATGTTGGCTGCGAAAATGGCACCAGACCTGGTGTAGGACGAGGTGATGCCATTGTTAAATTACATGTTATTCTGTGATGTTGTGGGGAAGCTTGATGATATACTGTTGTTCCAGGTGGGGAGTTCAAAAATTCATATTGTCAGAGTTAAAACTTGCGCTTTAGGTTTAATTGTACATATTTTTGGGTATTGATAGAGTTGAATGCAGAATTGTCAGGTTTGACGTTATCTTTTCTGTGCTGGATGGTTTTACAGATTACAACTGCATGAAGATGCATTAATTGTTTTTGTTTTTGTTGACTTGTGCCAGTACATAAGCTATTCTAGCATTTTCTTCTTTTGAGATAGATGTGGTCCTAGCATAAAGATACGTATCTTTAGTTTTGGTGCTTGAAAACTGCTTGGTTAAAACCTGACGGAAAAAAACAATTCCTCTTGAAGATGACTAGGGCATTGTTGAATTTTGGTTGATTCTTTTTGTAGGTTGAAATAATAAGAGCTTTTTCTTCTGTTTTAGATGACAGGAAAATATTTCAGGGTATTACATTTTACTGAAATGATAGCCCATGGGTGGTGGTTAACCTCTGGTACCACCTCTCTAGACGTTAAGGAGATGGTCTTTTTTCATATTAATCAAAGATGGCAACCTGATTCTTGTTCGTTTTCTTTTACTAGCTTCTGTGTCCTTTCTGTAACTCCCTGCATTCCCACAGCCTTTTCTATACGCAGAGGAGGAGTGAAGTAGGATGACCCCTGAACTTCCAGCACCATTCCAGTTGTATAGGCACAAGCATCCATTGAGATATGAATCTCTGCAGTAACAGCTACTGGTTATACTGCTGCTAAGGAGCTTGCTGAGGCCTGTTTTGATTAGGAGAGAACAGTGGCAAGAAAATATAGTTTTCTAAAGCATTTGGAAAGCCTTTGCTCATCTTTCTTAACCATCAAAGAGAAAGGTGTTTTGAGGTGACAATTAAGAGAACCTGAAATGGCTAGGAATGTAGCATTGAGCCTGTGTAGTGGCTTACCTTGCCCAGTATTTTGCACTGGCCAGTGAAATTAAAGGGTTCAATAAGCAAACATATTTTGAACACCTACTGTGTGCCAGGCTCTGTAGTAGGGATTGGGTGTGCAGAGATGAATGAAATACTGTTCCCACTGCAGAGGAAGACAGTCTCGTGCCCTGGGCGGGGGCTGGAGGTGGGGCATGGTGTATGGCAGAAGTAAGAAATTGATGAAAATGAGTAAGTGTAGATGCCATGCCATTTAGGGTTATAGAAATCTTTTGGACTACTGAGGGAACACAGGGAGAGGAAGTGCTCAGCTTTGCCTGGGAGAATCAGGGAAGACTTCACAGCCGAGGTGATATTTGAGCTCAGTCTTAAAGGATAGTAGAAAGTGAAGAAGGGGGACGGCAGCATGGTGCTCTTGCAGTGACAAATGTTTCAGTGCAGTTTCAGGAAGGGGTTCAAGCCTGGGAAATTAAGAAGGAGATTGTGGGAGACTAGAGTGAGGTGGAGGCCAGATTTTGATGATCCTTGTGTAAAATTTCAAGAGTCAGACTGGTGAGACTGGAATTGCAAAGATTTCTATCATTTGAGATTTTGTGTGAGCCTTCTTCAATCTTTTTTTGTTTATGGATTATTACAGTTATGGATTTATTAGCTGCTCTGTCAAAGTAGTTTTGTTTTGTTTTTTAACTTATTAAATGCCTATGATGGGCCTAGCCCTGTGCCACACAGATAATGTGGAAGATGTAGAAGAAAATGTAAAGTTTCTACTTTCGAGGAGCTTACAGATTAACAAAAGAGAAGAATTGAAATTCATGGCCACCTTTCTGCCTGCTCACACCACACTGTGAGATTATTTTGCAGTTTGTTCCAGTCATTTAGGCATTTCAGAAATAGATGAAGGGAGTGTTACTTGCAAATGTCATGATTTCACTTTACATTCATTCCAGACAGTGTGAAAATGTTAGTCTGAGTGAGGTGTTAATAATATGAAGCTCACTCACCCCTCAGGGACTGGCTTTTGAGAGGTACTTAGCCAACCCCCCTTCTTTAGATCCCACTGGTACTTGAGACCCATGGCCAGATAGGGACAAACAGGTGCTTTGTGGGCTGAAGTAGATTAGTGTTTCCTAATTTTCAGTAATTTATGTACCATCTTCACAATTTTTTGCCAAATCATTCACCACCTATCCTGTTATTTGCCTAATATTAAAAAAAAAGTCTCGCTTCTTAGCTTCATCCTAAGCAACAGTATGTGTGTAATTATGGGGTTTGATATGGTACTCTGCGTGTGTGTGTGTGTGTGTGTGTGTGTGTGTGTGTGTGAGAGAGAGAGAGAGAGAGAGAGAGAGAGAGAGAGAGAGAGAGAGAGAGAGGGACAGACACATACACATAGACATTAAAATAACTTATTTAAAAAAGCCTATACTCTGCCTAAAAACATCTAGAATACCTTAGAAAACTAAAGTAGATACATAATAGAGCCTCAAAAGGGGGATGGTGCCACCCACCTAGATTAAGCCCGATGCTGATATTTGAGTCCTTGTACATATTTTTAGGAGTAACATTTGAGATTATTTTATTTATGGCTTACTGTGTAATGACCAAAATTGACATAGATGAGTAGATAAGAAGAAAAATTGGGACTTCCCTGGTGGCGCAGTGGTTAAGAACCCGCCTGCCAATGCAGGTGGACACAGGTTTGATCCCTGGTCTGAGAAGAACCCACATGCCGCGCAGCAATTAAGACCGTGAGCCACAGCTACTGAGCCTGCGCTCTAGAGCCCTTGAGCCACAACTACTGAAGCCCGCGCACCTAGAGCTCCGCAACAGGAGAAGCCACCGCAATGAGAAGCCCATGCACCGCAACAAGAATAGCCCCTGCTCACCACAACTAGAGAAAGCCTGTGCGCAGCAGTGAAGACCCAACGCAGCCAAAAATAATAATAAAATAAATTTAAAAAAAAGAAAAATTACATGAACGGGAATGAAAGAAGAACCTTTAGTTGGAGTATGCGAAGCTGTTAAGAATGTTATAGAGGGGCTTCCCTGGTGGCGCAGTGGTTGAGAATCTGCCTGCCAATGCAGGGGACACGGGTTCGAGCCCTGGTCTGGGAAGATCCCACATGCCGCGGAGCAACTGGGCCCGTGAGCCACAACTACTGAGCCTGCGCGTCTGGAGCCTGTGCTCTGCAACAAGAGAGGCCGCGACAGTGAGAGTCCCGCGCACCGCGATGAAGAGTGGCCCCCACTTGCCACAACTAGAGAAAGCCCTCGCACAGAAACGAAGACCCAACACAGCCAAAAATAAATAAATAAATAAATTTATAAAAAAAAAAAAGAATGTTATAGAAATGGAACATAACAAAGGGGAGGTGTCATGTGACCTTGGAGTTCTGTGCTGGTTTGAGTTCTGAGGGCCTGACTGCTGTGTGCCAGAGTTTGTGGGGAACTCTTGTCCTAGAAGAAGTTTGCTGACATGGATGGGAAGGAGAACAGGACCTCTGGGAATCCTGAGGCTTTTTGTTGTGTACTCTTTTAAAGTCAGTTCTAGTACTAATACTTCTAATAAATGTCCAGGTAAAGGAAAGGTGTAAGGGGCACAGCGTCATTTGGCTTCATTTAGAAAGTCATCTCCAGTGTATATTTCAAGGAACTACATATGATCTGATAAATGATTTTAAGGACTTTGTTTAAAATAAAGTGCTGTCATTTACATTTAATGAATTTTTATTTCTATTTCAAATGCTTGAACCAGACATTTTTATTTCAGATCTAACCAGGAAATACATGAGTTTAGTTTTGTGATCAGAAATGTTATCTTTTATTGTGAAATGTTTCCATCATCTGATGCATACATTTTGTTTAAAAGGTGAATATCAGATTAAAGTTTCTTGATTTTTTTTTTTTTTTTTTTTTTTTACTTGATAATGTTGTTAAGGATTTTTGCAAGTATGTTCATGAGGGATATTGGTCTGTTTTCATAGAATGAGTTGGGGAGTGTTCCTTTCTCCTCAGCTTTATGAAAGAATTTGTGAAAGATAATATTATATCATCTTTAATTATCTAACAGAATTCACCAGTGAAATGTTCTGGGACTGAGGTTTTTTTTTTTTTTTTTTTTTTTGGCTGCGTTGAGTCTTTGTTGCTGTGCACGGGCTTTCTCTAGTTGCGGTGAGCCCAGGCTACTCTTCGTTGCGGTGCGTGTGCTTCTCATTGTGGTGGCTTCTTGTTGCAGAGCGTGGGCTCTAGGTGCGCAGGCTTCAGTAGTTGCAGTACACGGGCTCCGTAGTTGTGGCTTGCAGGCTCTAGAGTGCAGGCTCAGTAGTTGTGGTGCACGGGCTTAGTTGCTCTGCAGCATGTGGGATCTTCCCCAGACCTGGGATCGAACCGGTGCTGCCTGTGTTGGCGGGCGGATTCTTACCCGCTGAGCCACCAGGGAAGTTGCAAGTTTCTTGATTTTTAAGATGAAATACATAATAGCTAGTTTGCATTGCAATTTTAGACTCAATCTAGAAAGGTCATTGTTTTACAGTGCTTCTCCCATAGGCATGAAGTAAATATTGCATTAATTTGATTATATTTTTATTTATTTTCTGTTCATTTTGTTATAAATGTGTTTGGCATTTTGTTTTGAGGCAGTATATGGCTATAATTTTAGCTGTATTTTATGGACAAAAAATGTCATAGATATTAGGATTATAATTCCCTTTAATCTGTTTAATGTTTTTATTTAGATGTAGAAATTTAAAAATCACTAAGGCTAATGTTTCTGAAGGATTAGTCATTCTGTAACATTCTACAGTGAATGTTTTGTCATAAACTATTTTAAAAATTTTAATTGTCTCAATAAAAATAGATAATTGAAACTTTTTTTAGGCTCCTGTCACATCACCATAGGGAAAATGGAAATTATTAGATTACACCAGGAAAAGCATTAAACGATTATAAAAACCAAGTGAAGTATATACTTGTAATTTAATTTTTACTCATGTCATTAGTTCTGGGAAATTTGAGGCCAGAAAAAAATTTAATTACTTTCGTCTCTTTTTTTTCCATCTTTAAAATGGGGGTCCTATTTATCTTGTATGGTTATTACAAGAGTTAAAGATAATGTATATGAATGCCTATTTTAATGTAACATTTCTTGAGTTTTTACTTAGTTTATGTTCATGTTCTTGGCAAATAACAATATTCTTAAGGCGTGCAAGGAAACTTTGTAACTATGTAAATATATGTTAACTATGTAGTGATTTTTTGGATAGATTATATTAAGAAGTTTAAAAAAAAAAGCTTTTTAAATTGAAACATGTTTGAACAATGACATGTATTGTTTCCTTACATTTGATGCATTATGTAGTTTCCAAAGTACTTTTGTATTTTTAATCTCATGTAAGCCTTTTAGTTATATGTCTTTAAAATGGACGTAATAATAGTATCTACCTTATAGGATTATTGGGAGAAGGTTATTATGAGAATTAAATTAGATATGCTATATATTAAGCACTTAATACAGTGCTTGGCACATGGAAATTATTAGCTATTTGTGTTTATTTAAACTTTTTCTTTAAATTGATTTAGAAGTTAAATTATAGTAGTAATGTAGTGCCTCTTTTTTTTTTTTTTTTTTTTTTTTTTTTTTTTTGCGGTACGCGGGCCTCTCACTGTTGTGGCCTCTCCCGTTGCGGAGCACAGGCTCTGGACGCGCAGGCTCAGCGGCCATGGCTCACGGGCCCAGCCGCTCCGCGGCATGTGGGATCTTCCCGGACCGGGGCACGAACCCGTGTCCCCTGCATCGGCAGGCGGACTCTCAACCACTGCGCCACCAGGGAAGCCATGCATTTTTTTAAAAATTAATTAATTTATTTTTGGCTGTGTTGGGTCTTCGTTGCTGCGTGTGGGCTTTCTTTAGTTGCGGCGAGCAGGGGCTACTCTTGGTTGCGGCACACGGGCTTCTTATTGCGGTGGCTTCTCTTATTGCGGAGCACAGGCTCTAGGCACACAGGCTTCAGTAGTTGTGGTGCGTGGGCTCAGCAGTTGTGGCTTGCAGGCTCTAGAGAGCAGGTTCAGTAGTTGTGGTGCACGGGCTTAGTTGCTCCGCGGCATGTGGGATCTTCCCGGACCAGGGCTCGAACCGGTGCTGCCTGTGTTGGCGGGCGGATTGTTAACCACTGTGCCACCAGGGAAGTCCCCCTTTGCATTTCTATATAAATTTTAGAATTGGCTTGTCAATATGTACACATATGTGGATGCATGCACACATTTGTGCATGTGCGCACACACATCCCTGCTGGGATTTTGATTTGGATTGCATTGAATCTGTAGATTATTTGGGGCGAGAACTGACATCTTAACATTATTGAATCTCCGAAACAATAAACATGGAATATTTCTCCATTTCTTTAGGTCTTTATCTCAGGAATGTTTTGTAATTTTCAGTGTAGAAGTCTTGTATATTTTTAATTAGATTTACTATCAGATATTGGTATTTTCTGATGCTCTTGCATTTTTTTGACAGTGAAAGAAAACGTTTTTTGAACTTTTTGTTTATAATCATGACAATAAAAATGTAATAAGTGAATTTTAATTAAACTGAATTGTTTGCAAAAGGTACAGTTGGTAACCACTAAAACATTTCAACTGATGTAATGTCTTATTTTCTTGATTCATTCTTTAGTTTAAAAAATCAATTAACAATTAAATGAATTTAAAAAAATGAAATTTTAGAAAGAAACTTCAGAAGTCTTCAAATTTATTTTGAGGTATGTCTTTCATACAGTAAAATGTACAAATCTTTCATGTACGGTTTGATGAGTTTTTTCCCCTAAATGCCTACCCATGTAGCCACTATCCAGATCAAAATATAGTACATTTCTAGTAGCTTTAAGCCTCATCTGAGTGAATGCTACACCCTCCCCCATAGGTAACCCCATAGGTAACTGTTACTGGGAATGCTTTTGCTTATAAACATTTTGCATCATTATTAGAAACTGAAGAAGTAATTGCCTGCATGTTTATAAAGTATGTCCTTTATTTTCATCAGAAGTGATAGATGGTATTGATAATTGCAGTTAAACTATGATATTTATATTATACCAGGCAGATTGTACCCTTTTTCACTTCAAGGGAGATAGAATTTGACCTGTGTTATAAGGTTGTACCATTCATGTTGGGGCCGTAATTGTTTCTTTCTCACTGCTGTAGTAGAGTATAATACTTATTAGCTTAGATAATCTTAGGGAAAAATTATCTGCTTAAATACTTTTCTTCCTAAAGCAGTTTCTAACACATTGTTAATGCAGAGATTGGGGTGGCTTTCTCACTGATGTACTGAATGAAACTGTGGTACCTAGGGGGTGCTGGGAGGGAGGAACATGCTGTGCTCCTAAGAGCCAGTGAATCAGCTTGGTGGTCAAGAAGTTACAAAACTCCATACATTTCCTCTTTGTTTTCTGAAATTTATTTACTTTTGCTAGTAGCAAGTCAGTGATTCGTTTTTTCTTCCTTTTTTAGTTTTTATACTTTGGTAATAACAAGAGTCGCTAACATTTATTGAGCTCATACTAGGTACAAGTACTATGCAAAGTGCTTTACTTAAATTACCTGATTTTATTTTCAGCCAAACTAATGTTTTACTAACGCTCTGCAGATTGAGGTTTTGGGTCAGTGTAAATGAATACATCCTTTAAATTTACGTTAGGGCAGGTAACCTCCATTTTCTAACTGTTCGTTCTTTTCATGAATAGGTATGTCATTGATGGTGCCACCGCTCTTTGGTGTGCAGCAGGGGCAGGACATTTTGAAGTTGTTAAGCTTCTAGTCAGTCACGGAGCCAACGTGAACCATACCACAGTAACTAACTCAACCCCCCTACGGGCAGCATGCTTTGATGGCAGATTGGACATTGTGAAATACTTGGTTGAAAATAATGCCAACATCAGCATTGCCAACAAGTATGACAACACCTGCCTAATGATTGCAGCATATAAAGGACACACTGATGTGGTCAGATACCTTTTAGAACAACGTGCTGACCCAAACGCTAAAGCACATTGTGGAGCCACAGCATTGCACTTTGCAGCTGAAGCTGGGCACATAGATATTGTGAAGGAGCTGATAAAATGGCGTGCTGCTATAGTAGTGAACGGCCATGGGATGACGCCATTAAAAGTAGCTGCTGAAAGCTGTAAAGCTGATGTTGTCGAACTGTTGCTCTCTCACGCTGATTGTGACCGAAGAAGTCGGATTGAAGCTTTGGAGCTCTTGGGTGCCTCCTTTGCAAATGACCGTGAGAACTATGACATCATGAAGACATACCACTATTTATATTTAGCTATGTTGGAGAGGTTTCAAGATGGTGATAATGTTCTTGAGAAAGAGGTTCTCCCACCAATCCATGCCTATGGGAATAGAACTGAATGTAGAAATCCTCAGGAACTGGAATCCATTCGGCAAGACAGAGATGCTCTTCATATGGAAGGCCTTATAGTTCGGGAACGGATTTTAGGTGCCGACAACATTGATGTTTCCCATCCCATCATTTACAGGGGAGCTGTTTATGCAGATAACATGGAATTCGAACAGTGTATCAAGTTGTGGCTTCATGCCCTGCACCTCAGACAGAAAGGTAACAGGAATACCCATAAGGATCTTCTTCGATTTGCCCAAGTTTTTTCACAGATGATACATTTGAATGAAACTGTGAAGGCCCCAGACATAGAATGTGTTTTGAGATGCAGTGTTTTGGAAATAGAACAAAGTATGAACAGAGTAAAAAATATTCCAGATGCTGACGTCCACAGTGCTATGGACAATTATGAATGTAATCTCTATACTTTTCTGTATTTAGTGTGCATTTCCACCAAAACACAGTGCAGTGAAGAAGATCAGTGCAAAATTAACAAGCAGATCTACAACCTGATTCACCTCGATCCCAGAACTCGTGAAGGTTTCACCTTGCTGCATCTAGCTGTCAACTCGAATACCCCAGTTGACGACTTCCACACCAATGATGTCTGCAGCTTTCCAAACGCGCTTGTCACAAAGCTCCTGCTGGACTGTGGTGCTGAGGTGAATGCTGTGGACAATGAAGGGAACAGTGCCCTTCACATTATCGTTCAGTACAACAGGCCCATCAGTGATTTTTTGACCTTGCACTCTATCATCATTAGCCTAGTTGAAGCTGGCGCTCACACCGACATGACAAATAAACAGAATAAGACTCCGCTAGACAAAAGTACAACTGGGGTATCAGAAATACTACTTAAAACTCAAATGAAGATGAGTCTCAAGTGCCTGGCCGCCCGGGCAGTTCGGGCTAATGACATTAACTACCAAGACCAGATCCCCAGAACTCTTGAAGAGTTTGTTGGATTTCATTAAGTGACTGGATATGTAAAATCATTTAATGTGGTGCTAAAAAGTAAAGGACTTTAATCACAGACAATAGAATTATGTGTTCATAAAATATGCTTTTCTTTCCACTACCCTTCCTCCCTACTCATCCTTCCTTAGTTTTGTATTTGGTCTTCTTGCCTCATATGGTTACTGATTTCAAATACACTTTAAACAAAACCACATTGTTTAGGTGTAACTATAATCTAAGGTGTTTGGATATTGGTCACTTAACTAGTTTTCTTTTTTTTAAGGAATGAATATAAAATATTTTGTTTACGTAACAAGGGCCCTTATGATTTGAACTTGATAATGTTTAAAAAAAACTGCCTAGAAAAGTATTTCTGTTAAGCCTATGTCAGCATGTTATTCTCTGCAGCAGTTTTGAGGATCATGAAGAAAAACAACGAAAAGGAACATTAAAAGTAATGGAATATCTAGATATTCTGCACATGCCAAACTGCTATAGGTAGTTTTCACTCTTCCATTATTTATGTGAAGAGATCAACGCATTATAACATCAGGAGGATTTTTAAAAATATAACTGCAGATTAATCTGAAAAATGTGCTAACTTAATAGTAACAAATTTATAAAGTTAAATCCATTGAATTTGTTGAATTATGCTGGGTGGTACATACACAGCAGTAATCTTAAAGCAACTTTAAAGCAACTTTTCAGAGAATATTGATGGACTATTTGCCTTTGGGCTTGGATTCTAAAATGTGTGGAAGTCTCTGTTTTAATGTAATTAAATTGCAGCAGTCTGCATTTGACTCAGCTCACAGACATGTAAAAATTATGAATGCTGTATTCTCTCTTAGGAAACAAATTGTCACAATATAGTTATATGTTCTTCTTTTGTCCCCTTCTCCCTTTCCTCTTGTGTGGTATCTTTTAAAATTGGAAACTACTTTCCCAGAGGGCATTATTTGTGCCTCCCTCAGTAGGTTTTTATGACAGATGAAAAGGAACTGGGATATTTTTAATTTTTTTCACTTTATTCAGTCTGTGACAAGTAGAAAAATCACTAGTGTGGTATAGGAAATTCAATGTTTTTGATAATAAAAATAACTCTCAATGCCATTTGGAAAGATATTTCTGCCTGAGGGCAACAAATTTTGGAACCACAAAATGTCGCTTATTCCGACAGGCTGTACAGAGGTCTTTATGGGTTTTGTTTGTTTGTTTGTTTTGTTTTAATGGCAACATTGTAAACTGTCAAAAGAATATTCTGTGATTATCTTTTAAGCATCACAGAAATTCAAGTAAAGGGTACACACCTATTTATTTCTTTCAATGTGAAAAATGATAAAGAAAATAAAATTAGCTATATCTGTATTTTTCTCTCTAGTGCCAAGTGAATGCCTTAGCTACTCATAGTGCATGGTACTGTAAGTGAAGACCTGCAGCTTTTTTTCTTTAATGAAAAGCATTATAATGATGCAGCAACATCAGATATAAACTAAACAACAACAACAACAAAAACCACTGGTAAGGTTTCAGTTGACATTTTATGTATGGATATTGCTTTGTGAAGTGTTAAGAAAAAGGTTGCAGCCGGATCAGTATAAAACATAATGACGAAGCCAAAATCAGCACCTAGGACCTTAACTAAAATAGGTACCCCATGAAATGAAACACTCTGAAGGATAGGAGGGAATGGATGGGGGGACTTTAAAAACCTTCCTCGCCCAAGAACGCAAGACAATTTTACTGTGCTGTAGTTAGACTTCACATGTCTTCTTGCTTCAGTTGGGAATGTTTTGATGGTAAATTCTGGCACAGTAATATATTTCTGTTTTCCTAACCTGAGATTTTTACAAGGAAGGTTCTTTAGGATGGTCTAAAGGGAGGTATTTGAATGAGCCCTAATTTGAAAATTACTGGCCTTGATCTTCCTGGTGTGAATCAGGGAACTACTATACCTTGCTCTTGGCAACTCTCATGAAAGAGAAGATGCTCATCCTCCAGGTGAGTGAATCACACCTTTTTCACAGCTCAGATCAGACCCTGTATTTTTCAGACTTCAAGGCCTGTTTATTTGACATTCTGAGGAATAGCTATGATACTTGGTATTTACTTGGTTCCATTATTATTATTTTTTTTTTTGCGGTACGCGGGCCTCTCACTGTTGTGGCCTCTCCCGCTGCGGAGCGCAGGCTCTGGACGCGCAGGCTCAGGGGCCATGGCTCACGGGCCCAGCCGCTCCGCGGCATGTGGGATCTTCCCGGACTGGGGCGCAAACCCGTGTCCCCTGCATCGGCAGGCGGACTCTCAACCCAGTACTGTGCCACCAGGGAAGCCCTTGGTTCCATTATTAATGCATATGATTTTTAAACATCAAAACTTAAAATATCAGATAATGTTGCATGTTTTAAAAACCATTTCATCCCTTTGGCTACCCAGGACGAGAACTATTTTAGATATTACTTATAAAACGAGGATAATGATTATCTGTACATATTCAGACATCAAAATTTAATGACACTCAGTGTTTTTGAGAAGGGAGGACTGAATGCTGGAGAGAGTAAAACTGCTGATTGAAATGCTGACAAAGCTGGAGAAAGAATGTGAAGAAAGCGGAACGGACTATGAACTTTGCTAATGGTAACCGAGATTTTTATTTTTTAAACTATGGTATAGCGGTACATTGTGCACTATTATAATTGCTAAGGATCTAATTCTGTCTTGTAAAACGAATCCAAATATGTATTGTGAAACACCTGTATAAAACCATTCTTGAAACAAGTGATTACATGCCTGTTATTTTTTTTTTTTGGTAGAATTATTTTAAAATCTGTTTAGCCAAACCCTTCCCAAACTTAAGTTTTGTTTTGTTTTTTTAAGAAAATAAATAAGAAAGGTGATAATTCTGTATCTCAGCTCTCTGAGAACTCTGCCATTTTTTGGCCACTTTTGTCATTTTGTGTTTATTATTGGTAGAATTATGCTTTAGATTGTATGTCTTCCTTGATAACATTACAAATTCAATCAAAACTTCTTGGTCTTGCTCAGTAATTGTCATATAAATTTAGTTAACTAGAGGCCCACGTGGATGAATGCCTGGGCAAACCTTGGGTGGGTTTTGCACTTAAGAGTTGGTAAAATTGAACTCTTGAGTTTAGGTAACTATTTAAGTCAGGGAATGGGCAGCAAATCCATCCTTCAACTGATCAGAAAGGAAATTTTGACATAAGAACTCTGACACAACATTGTTTTCAGTCTACCCCGGATTGCTCTCTAGTAGGCCACAGTCCAGCTACCTTAAGGTTCTTTGCTGTGGGCGCTTCAAACAAACAAACCAAAAAGCAAACTTTGGTCTTGCTTGTTTCTGGGAAGGGTTTTACTGCATTACCCTGATCATTGATTAATAACTAATCATGAGAAACTCAGGCACGATAGCACTGTTTGAAGTAAAATGTGATGTGGGGGCAGCAGCTCCATGAGTGTCAGCTCTGCATTTGGCAAGTGGTTTTGAAAATCAGAATCCCAAGGGAACAGTAACCCTGTCACTTGTCTCCATCTCAGTTGAGGCAGCTACTTGAGGAATAAGGCCACTTTAGATAATTCAAGCAGAAGCATTTCTTTCTGGGGGAATGGGGCAGGGTGAGGAATGAGTTGCTGGACCTTGGATTAGTTTACTGGTTTTAGAAGCAGCCAGTGATGGAACTAGAGAGTAGATGGATAAAAGTATAAAGGACTTGCTTTTATGGTAGGTTTTCTGTAAAAACCTTAAATGTTCCTTTTCAGGCTAGCCAGATGTATCAGTGTACAGATGACTATTCCATTTCCCTCACTGAGTATACTATAACATTAAAATGGGTTAAAGAAAACAAACCTCTGCCTTTTGCTCTATGAAAAGTTATTAGTCCATAAGATTTTAAGCTTTGTGTTGACTCCGACTCTGAAAATGCACAGCCCTGCTCTGGATACCTTCTCTGGAAAGTAGAGAGCTCCTAATGTGTATGGCACATTGCCGAGCTTTCTCATACATTCCTGGCAGACTTGCCCAAATCTTCAGATGGGCTGGGTTGTACAGTACCTTCTCCAAATATGGGGTCTGAAATAAATACTACATGGATCGTGGGGATATATTAATTTTTAAAACTGTAAAGTAAATGTGGTCTCTAGTTCTAGGTTTGTGGTGTGTTCATTTGTGTTAATATATAGGAAAGGGACACTGACTTGATGGTTACGAGGAGTGTATCTTGATGTGTGTGCAGGGGTGAGAAGTGCTAAATTGTTAACAGCTTTTCATTTAGGGGTGAGTCCTGTGGTGAGTGGCCTAATCAGAAAAATGAAGGAGCAAAGATGTAAGCTTCATCCAAGCAATGCACAAGGTTTTGTAACTTTTTTTTATCAGGTGTTGTAAAATTTGTGCATGGCCTTTTTTTGTTGTCGTTGCTTAGTAACTGGTAGAGGAGAAAAGATGAGGGGAAATAACCTCAGCTTTGCTAACCAATCAAGTATATAGCTGGGGAGTAAACTGACTGGCTTAACATGTTGAAAGATCCTATCCTTTATAATATTCACCCCATCCTGCAATCTTCCACGTAGAGGAATTACATTGTTGTATTCTAGTAATTCACTGTGATTTATAACAAACCAGTGATGTCATTCTATTGTGCACTTTTGTCAAACCATTTACATGACTTTAATAAACATAGTGAACTTGCTGACTGCACCAGAGGCCTGTTAGTGATTTATGTATTGCATGACATTTTCTATTTGAGTTTGACATGTAGAATCATTTTTAATTTCGTGGTAACTGACAGTCCTAATAGCCCAGCTAATTTGAAACTAACAATATTGCTGTGTAATAGGAAAAAATGGTGTTTGTGTTCAGTAAATGTTTGAAAAAAAAAAAAAACTGCCTTGAAGTGTGTGTCTTTATTGTTCAGTGTTGAGATGATCTTTTGTTGAATTCATTTTTAAAAAGTTGTGAAAGTTACATACATGTGCATGGGGAAAAAAATTCAGATAGTTAAGAAAAATTCAAATAGTACAAAAAAAAAAGTTACTTTTTCATCTCTCTCTGCCTGCCAT